AAATGTAATAAAGCAAGAGCTATGATGATATCAGGTTATTCAGCCATGCATGGATGAACACGTTACTTAAAATAAAAAACTTTGCCCCCTGAGCATGATCGTATACACTATTGAAATTGCATTGGTTTCTAGAATATACCAAATATTAGCAGCAATGAATGGAAATTGATGTTGTGATTAGAACGATCGATGCACCTTGAGGTAAGATACATATGGGGATTTGACATGGCCACCATTGCTCAACTCAGTCATTATATTTAGCAAGGATAACTTTGGACAGTCCTTTATCATGATCAAGTCCAAACAACCATCCGAAAACTGCAGATCAATCATGGAAAAAGTATCAATATTAAACAGCAGCAAACCAAGTCTTATGCCCAACATCGTTCATGTTTAAGTTTTGTTTTGAGGACTCAAAATTCACATTTCATTATCCTTCTCACTTCAAAAGCAACTTAGCCATATATCCCAGAACTAATCAGAAAGATGAAATAACAAAAGAAAAGGCCAAAAGAAATTGCGAACGAGTATTAAGTCTTAAAAGGGTTTTTTCAAGGGGAAAAATTGGTTGCAAATACAGAAATGAAGCATAGAGAAGTGAATAAAACTGCAGTTAGAAAGAGATTAAAAAAAAGCGCAATATACAACCAGAATGGCCACAGAAATATTTGTTTTGAAAAGGTTCCCATAGGGGAGAATTCTGTAATTTGGTGAGGTTTATGAACTGAACGTGATATACCACCACTCCTTTACCAGCCAAGAAAATCTCTTTTATGCTTCTACCACAAAATCCAATTAGCATACATCACAAAATAGTAGTTTAGATTCGTAAATCAGAAAGAATATTTGAGATACAAGAAATTGAACAAACCTCAGCATCAGGTGCTGCCATAGCATCTTCACCTCCCCACGGTACGTTATGAAGCCAGATTGAAACAAAAGGGCCATCGATCTTGTGCCAGTTTAAACTTTTTATATCAACATTAGGACCATGATAACCATACTGTTGAGTCCTGGTGGGTTCCATATCAGAATTACTTTCGCTTTCAATTTTAACAATGATATCATCTGCATGGTCGAGTGGTTCTCCATAAGTTTCAAAGCCGGAAGCGGGCACAAAAATTATACTTCCATCATACTTTCTAAGGCCAAATATTCGCTGAAGGGCCTGCAACACCAATGGCTTAACTGTTTAGAGGAATAAACATTGAAGTAAAGCCCTTGATAGAAAAAAATGAATACTGTCTTTTGAAGGGAGGGCACTTATTTTGGCTGGTTTCACATCAATGGTTTTAAATCAGTAAATTAAATAGTACTAAATACTTACCAAAATGTGATTATATAGATCAATAAGTATTCACCAATGTCTAACATAAGAATCTAAGGGTCCGTTTAATTGCAAGAATAGAATTTGGGTGGAAAGAAAACCAATTCTAGAGTGTTAAATTTCCTAAAACTTGTTTTACTGAAAATTGTTAATTAAACATTTTTTATTGGTATAATTATCCACTTGGAAATGTTAAAACTTTGGATCTTTTGGTATTTATTTGGCTTTGTTTTCCATGAAAACTGTTAATTAAAGAGATAGAATTTGTTATAATTGTGGATAGAATATGTTTCCATTGCCGAAAATTTTAAAAAAATAATAATAAATAAATAAAAGAAAAAGCTGGAAAACCCAATTCCCACCAAAACCAAAGGAAAATCAATTCCTTAAAAAGCTGGAAAATGTGGTCACGTGGGGGTTGGGTGGAAAGCCAATTTCATCTAAAATTTTGCACATCAAACATACCATTTGGGTGGAAAATGGAGCTTATCAAACAGGCCTTAATATAACTTTGAAAAGAATTAATGTTGTAAACCTCACATAGAAATCTATTCGAGCACTCCCCATCCACCTGTATTTTTCAGACTCAATGTCAATATCAGCAACAAGACCTGCAGTAATGCCTTATAAGTTTGTGCTACAACGAATTTCTTCACAGAAATTATTAACAAGCACTCAACAACAGAAAGTTGGTTCCTTATGTGTGACCAGTAATAGAATTGAAAGAATTATTTATACCCCACGCGAGCATCAACACACTGAAGTATCTAGTGTCTCCTTGTGATATAGTAGCTACATCCAGCAAACGCCTATGCCCTGCCAATTTGAAAGCACGTAGATAAAATTTCTTACATTAAATCGATGTCCAATAAAACAGATGCTAATATTTATCAAAACAGAAGGTGGAAAAAAATGATAAATGAAGAAGAGACATACGCAGTCAGCATACCTCGAATAACAGCAAGGGTAGCATTAAATGTTGCACAAGGTTGACCAACTGAATCTAGAAGCGACTTTATCATGCCATTTCCGGTTCCTATGATCAGAAACAAGTCAAGTCCTAACTTGTTGCATTTCTGATGCTCAAATATTCAGTAAGAGAAAAAAAATAGTAACAAGTAGAGCAGCCAAAGACCACTCATGGGACTGTTGTAACTAGTAAATTGAATACTGTCCTTCTAACAATTTTTTTACAAAAAGTCTTGCGTTCTTAAACCACAAGCTTAGACACAAGCAAATGTTGATATATTGATCCGGGTATGAAATGCCCTTTTTTCTGTTTCAAGTCAGACAAAAAAACTCAGTTTCAGAGATAAAAGAAAATTAAATGAGTTATTTTAACCTGCAGGTACTACTCCAAGAGGAATCTTTATAGCAGCATCCCAATCCTCCCTGTTGAGCAATCCATTAACTACCTATTAGATGCCACAACACACGAAAGAAAGAACATAAAGGTCATTGATATATTTTTCAAAACTCAACTAAAAATTATTTTATATTTATTTGGAGATTTTTCACATTGTACATGCAAAATCATAGACGCATAATTTTTAAGGATTAATGTATTGACACTTCTACATTGGCACATCCCAGATTCTTGAATGCACAACTTGTGCCAAATCTCAAGAGAGAACAATAAGCCACAAAAGCCTATGTCCTTAATTTCATTTAGAAAATGTGTGAAAATCTTTCAAAACTTACGTATTTAATGTCACCATTACACGAAAGTTGAACATTTTTGTTTATGCTCCATCATGGTAATCAAAAAGCTGGGATTCATGGATAATAAATCTAAAGTGTGAACAGTTGGTCCAACTGTAAGTGTTCCTTTTTTGAAAAAAACATACTCTAATGAATTAATCCAGAAGAGAAGGCGCTACAAATGGGAAGAGGATGAAAATTAGAATTTTTCATATGCTTAAATAACTCAAAACATGTATACACTTCACCTCCACATGCGTGCACGCATACAATACATTAATTCAGTACAATTCTCAAAAAAAAAAAATGTTCAAGATATAGGTCAAAATTACTTAAAAATGAATTAACCAAATTACCAATATATGCATCTATAATCAAGCTGCAAGGAATATAAAAGTAACTAACCTCGACCAAAATTCCATCTCCACTAACACAAACAATTCCATCGTACTTTTTAATATCCAGCTCTTGAACAACTTCCTTTGCATGAAGCTGATATTTAGTTTCTGAGAATGAGGATTACAGTCAAAATCCAATTAGCATTAAATATCAGCAAAACATAAAATGTCCAGGCAAAATTACATGGATTCAAATAATTTACAGAGGGGAAAAGAGAGAGGAGCATCTCCAACCTTGCACTGTGAAGTCAATATTAGCATCATCAAGTAAAGGCCTTACTTCGGTCTCAAAAATCTTCAATGCCGATTTCTTCCCGCCGTAAGGATTCACAAATATAAATAGCCTCTTTGGTCTACCTGAACCCCCAACCACACCCAGACACAAAATTACACTCTTAAAAAACTATGGATGACAGTTACAGTAATTTATTCTATATTTACAGTGCATTGAATAGCCAAAAATTTACCTAGACCGTCGATAATTTCGTGGAGTTTTTGAGCCCATGAGTGGAGAGAACTATCTGACGAGAATTCAAGAGTGAAATTCTTCCTCGTCATGGCTGGTTTGGCAAAACAGCATATTCCAGCCGTACACTCAACTACAATTCTGATTTTAATCTTCGAACCCTCGACTGAAAACCCGATTACCTCCTTCTCTACATCCAGACTCAGATCAGACCACCGGAGTTGACCTCGGGCAGTCAGAGTCGCCGTCGTCTCACTGCCGTTAACCAGGACCCTGTCCGATAATATCGGCTCTCCGGATTTGGTCGGATCCATATATTTATTATGTAATCGCGGCTTGGCGAATCCGATTCCCCGTTGGAAGTTCAACAGGTATTCGAAGAAATGACTTTTTAAGGTCTATCTTGTGTGAAACAGAATTTTTATGCGTACGTAGTATCCTAAGTTCAAGGGTGAGCCCATCTGTCTCCTTTTTTCTTTTCTTTTTTTCTTTCTTTCTTTCTTTTTTTTTTTTTTTTTTTTTTTTAAAAATTTTTTTTTTTTTTTTCTTTTTTTTTTTTTTTTTTTGACGTGATTTTCTTTTTTTTTTTTTTTTTTTGAACAAATTTAACCACACATAAATTTAAAATATTTTCTTCCTTTCCATTTACATATTATCCAAAATATCAATATTCAAAACATCAATATTTTTTTTTTATTATTCTAAATAATGACCATCAAACCAAGACGGAATGAGTTTAGACCTCGTTTGGCCCCCATTTTTTGGAAGTGAGAATGGGTGGAATAGTGTTATTTTAAAAATGAATTGTTGAAAATGGAAAAAAAAAGTTTTCAATTTACGTATAATATTATTTTATGAAAAATTATATAGTTGAAAATAGAAAAAAAAAAATAAAATGTAATGAAACTTAATATAATGAAATTCGAATGGGGGCTAAATAAAAAAATGTGGTGTGTACAGAAGAATGCCTTACAGAATTCCTCCAAACACTCACATGGGTGGGTCCCATGGTGTAATAAAAAAATGTCAAAAAAATTACCCACCCCCTATTATAAGTATTCTGTATCATTTCTGTAGACTAAATTTCCATACACACAGCATTGTTTTATTAAATATTATTTGAAAAATACTTTAGAGTAAAGTAGATTCTAATATGCTACAAGTTCTAGTAAAATATTTTTGAATAATGCTATTTGTATATAACGATATATCATTCCTCAATATTTTCTCTCGAAATATGCTCAATAGTACAAGCTCTATTGTTGAGTAATTAATTTGTGTTTAAAATCAATTTTTAAATAATATTCTTTGTAAAATTTATTATTTTTCTGGTCAAGGCTTCCTTTATTGAAATTGACACTTCAAAGAGGCATCTCGTAAGGACCGTCCTTTTTTTCATTTGAAGTTAAAATGAGCTACAAAAAGTTAAAATGTAACATTTTTTTTTTCAATAAATGCTGCAAATCATATTAAAAACAAAAAAGAAAAATGATGACTAAATTGAAAAAGATAATAATTTACGTAACTTAATTTACTCCAACAAACATGCCCTTATAGTAATCTATTGATTAATCTAGAAATCCCTAAAAATTTGTCTGTTCATCTTATTCCCAAATCTTCTCCATTAAGAATTGTCTTCTTCCCAAAGTCCTCTAAAACATCTTTCACAAATTGATCTTCATAAAAATCTCCTACGAGTTGTAATCATTAGTAATATCATGCAAAGATTACAAAACGTGTTATTTTCACGAATTATTTAATGCCCAAACATGGAGGCATATTACAAGATCGAATTTTGTCCTTCAATTTTTGAAATTGATTAACAGAATTGCAAACATTCAAACCACACATTCTTATTTAAAATATTTTATATTATTCAATGACAATTTATATATATAACCAAATGCGCAAATTTTGATAAATCTGTGAATGAAATACAATTTGTTGAAAAACATATTAAGTTCTGTGACATTATTGCGAGATTTTGACTTCAAATTTTAAAATATTTTATCCAGATTCCACTAGTTCTCACTTTCGATTGAACGAAGAAACTACAGTATGTTTAAGCCATGGGCGCCATTGATATTTTTTACACATCCTCAGTTTTTTGAATTTATTTTCTTTTCTTGGAAGAGACATTAAATGGGAGCCATGAAGTGTGCATTATTCAAAAGATTTCAGTTACAAATTGTTATTTGGGTTCTATTATTAGAAGTTAGTATTTTTTATTATATTTCATATATAGAAAAGTATTTTTAGTTATTTAAACATTACGTAGTAAAAAACGAAATAATATTTCGTAATAATGCATATATGAATTTTTCCCCAAAATTAGTGGTTTGACATGGCCCGCCCAAAGCTTGCCCAAAACAATGATCCATAAATCGGTCCACCTAGGCCCAAAAAAATAACCCATAAACTGATTAAAATAATTGAAGAATCAAGTTAACGGCTTGGTTCAATAATGGATTCGGGCCATTTCGGTTCATGATTTGGGCGGGTCGATCTGAATTGTCCGCCCCTTCTTTATACCACTATACTAACCGGCAAAAAGCAAACAAAAGCACAATTATTTAGCTACTGTTTGGCAAAATTTAAAAATCAATTTTATGAATAATTAGATTTCATTTTCAATCATAAATTTCATAGATTAAATCTTTTAACCTCTATTATATCTCATAAATGAGACTTCAAAAATCAACCACGTGACAGTCACCTAACAAGCGAACTCAGGTCCATACTCTTATCACCATCCTCGTTGGCCTATTCAAGGCAACTAGGTAGTTTAAGTGATACACTTCGTCAAACCCCCATATGGAGGCTGAACCCTCTATGATCGAGGTGAGGTATCACAACTTGTTGTACCATCAATCTAAACCGAATAAGCTTCAGGATAAGAAGGCACTATCCTTAGAAGATCTTTCGTACTAGATATTCTATAATTGATTGACGTGGCATCTATGCAATTGACGTCTTATCAAGTCAATTTATTAGTCTACTTTTTATACGTCAGACTTAGATCGTATTATGATTGTTTTTTAGAATCATTCAATGCTCTCGAATCTAGGACTTGTTGAATGGCCTATGACAAGGCGCCTAGATCGTCAAGATGAAGTCACGTGTTTCTTCATCCAACGAGCAACGATTCCCTATCTTCTACTAATAAAGCTCATACTTAGAGAGACATTTTTATGTAATGCAATTTTACACACTCAATAATAATATTGCTTTGTCATTATTCTCTCTATGAACTCTTGTTGCCCGTACATTAGTGTGACTTGCGTCTCTCCATCCCACATTCAAATATGCACTCATAAGTTCTCTAAGTTGATCGTTGGAATGTTCGCAGTGGCTCCCCAACCTCTAGAGAAGGTCACGGTACTTCTATGGTTTCGTCCAAGTGTGCAAAATCTATACGCGTGTACATTAGTGGAGTCGAAATTTGCGGGCCACGTAATTCGTGAGAAAATCAAGGTCAACATTCACCACTTTGTTCTATTTATCTATAAATTAAATAATTTATAATTTCTTTCTAGATTGAAGTTGGTCCAGTCTGGTTCAAATCTAGAAGAAACAGAAAGAAGAGTTTAAGGCAAAATAATTTGAGAGTGGGCCACCCGGCTCTTCGATTCCACTTAGTCCACTAACAATGGCCTTTTGCAATCCTCACCCTATAATGACGACTCTTTATTCAATACTCTAGTTAAAAAAATCATTTACAAGGGCCATATTTTAAAATCTTGAAATAAAATGTAAAACAAAACGAAGGAAAGTTAAACTGAAATAGTAAGAATAAAAACTATTTATTAATTCAACCACGCTAGAAGTACAATTTTTTGTACAACTTGGTTGATAAGAGGGCCAAGTGGCGGCCCCTATTGGAGGGGTCGCTACAAAAATTGTACAAATAGAATAATTCTTATTATTTTGGAAGTAATTTTCATAAGTTTGGTAGGTTCGAATACATTAGTGCAATCCAAATTATGACTATATATATCAGAAGTGATTCTTCCTTTATCTCAAAATATGGACAGTCTTAGTGGATGTATTCACTTGGAACTTTTAAAGATTTTTATAAACTTATTTAAATTAATAGTAATATTTTCATAGAATTTTATAGACTTTTAATTTAAGACTTTTCTAGAATTCATCTGATTTTTTAAAACTATAATTTTAAAAATAGAATTCACTTGAACCTAACACAATGGCAAGATGTTCTCAAATGGGAGTTGGAATCCAATCCCCAGCATTACATTACCCTTCCCACATGTAATAAAATTACATCTTAATTAGATTATTAAATAAGCAAAATACAATATATAAATTTAATATTCAGTACTCTTTGATAAAAAAAATAAAAAAATAAAAAATAAAAATATTTAATGTTCGGTATTACTAATAAGACCTTTGAAAGGTAAACAATCAATCAAGATATTTAAAATTTAAATAAAAATAGTTTTTTCATAAAATTTTAAAAAATTTAATTACAAATCGTGTTATGTAATAGATTTGTGCGTATTTTATTAAGAACCAAAGTCCTATATTTATAGGGAAAAATTAAGGATACAATGATAATAATTTACAGAACTACAGGCGTATAATTGCTATTCACTAATAAATTTACCATTTACAGCACTTCTTCTTGAATGACGCATTACAAAATATCTACCTCGTTAAAATTTTATTTGATAAGAACTTGGGACAAAAAGTTCAAACAAGGGAAAAAGAGTACAATTATTTTTGGAGTATTACAAATAAATGATACCTCACTAAAATCATACTGGGAAACCCAGTGGGATAAAACCTAAGTGAATGAAAAAGAGTACAGATATTTCCCCTGATATTGATCAATGACAATATTTGAATCGACGCATTCCAATCTTGTGAACAAATTTCTTGAATGGAAATGTCAACAATGCTCTTACGAATAAATCGGTCATATTATCACTTGAGCAAATTCGTTGTACATTGATATCGCCATTCTTTTAAAGTTCATATGTATGAAAGAATTTTGGAGAAATATGTTTCTCCTGTCATCTTTGATTAACTTCCTTTGAGTTGTGTAATACAAGCTGCATTATCTTCTACAAAATTGTTGGACTATCTTTTATGGAAGTTTACATAATCTTGAATACGATAGGTCATGTTCCTTAACTATACATATTCTCAACTTGCTTCATAAATTGCAATAATTTCATATTGATTTGAGAATGTTGCTTTGAGGATCGCTACACAGATTTCCAAGATATAATTGTTCCATTATATGTAATCACATATAATATTTGTGACTTAATTTTATGTGGACCAAAGAGATAACATGTATCTGCATATCCCACAAAAACATATTCCGACCATTAAGAATATAATAATTCTAAATTAATAGTGCCCTTTAGATAACGAAAATTATGTTTAATATCATTCCAATAT